AATGAAAGCTTGAAGTGTCCTCTTTCGATTAAGCTAATTTGCAGATGGTACCTCTGCTTTTAAAGATATACAGGCCTATTCTGAATCGTATGGGAATGGGAGTTTGTTCCCTGTTCCCAAGTTTGCTATTCTGAATAATTTGGGAATGGGAGTTTTGTTCCCTGTTCCCAATTTTGCTATTCTGAATCGCATGGGAATGGGAGTTTTTTTTCCAATTTTGCACAAATTCTTTCCCAAGCAAATTGTTGGGGAGACAAGTTAAAAAAGTATTAAAAATGGTTTAATTTAATATAAAAGTAACTGAAAATGATCAGAATTTTGAATATATTTTAATAAAATTATTATTATATGTTATGGTAGCCTATAGGTATGTTAGGAAAAAAAAAAATATTTAAAGAAAGAAAATTTTTTTTTATAAACTAAACTAAATAAACTATATTATACGTAATAAATGTATTGACACAAGGGTATACCAAACACAGCAAATACTCACCACAATTCGAGTTAAGCAAGGAGAAAGGGGATGGTGATTTTATATAGAAGAGAGTTCAGTATAGACCGAAAGAGAAGGGAGGAGCATTGTAACGAACAGCAAGCAAAACTAACTGAAGTGTTAACTGCCAAAATTACAGCAAAAACGGATCCAAAGAATAACAGCGAGTAGCTGTTAAGATATTTAGAATATATAGAGCGACTCAACAGACTTGCGGAGAGAATTAAACAGTCAGCTAGCCGCGAAGGATTTGAAAAACTGTTGATACAAAGTATTTTTGAATTTTTGAAAAGTTTAAATTATTTTTATGAGCACAAAGTATTTTACACAATTAAATTAATAAAAAAAGTAGTGATGCAAAAATATTTTTGAATTTTTTTTGTAAAATTTTTAAAGTTGAAATGATTGCAAAATAATGATTGCAAATTAAATAAATATGCAATAAAATCCATTAAACCAGGACTATAAAGAACACTTTGTTCCGAAAAATAATGCAAAATCAAATAAATTACAATAAATCATACAACCAAGAATGTAAAACACTTTGTTCCCTGGAAAAATTAATGCAAATCAAATAAATATACAATTAAATTCATAAAACCAGGAATTGTAAAGAACACTTTGTTCCCTGGAAAAATTAATGCAAATCAAATAAATATACAAATAAATTCATAATACCAGGATTTGGAAAAATTAGTGCCTGGAAAAATTCCCTGGAAAAATTAGTGCCAATTAAATAATACACAAGAATACACAATCAAATAAATAAACCTTGCCTTTGGTAAGGCATTTACGGCTAACTCAGCTAAAACAGCAGGAAAGCAACCTGTCGTCCGGGCAGCAAAAATTACACCTTGGCATCAGCAACAGTTCGTATGAGCCGCATCAGTAACAAACATCAGTCGCCAGAATTATGAAAACCACATCACAGCAGAGTATCACCCAATCATCTTTAATATCATCACCGAAGGATTCACAGATAAGTCACCTTTGTCAATGTATTTATAGCCAAATTCATTAACGTAAAAATTACTGTGGCAAAAGAAATGATCGCATAAACATTCATAGTCAGCGCGTGTGTTACCATAGATATCACTTTCAAAGATTAAATAATAACACAATTTTTGTTGTCATTGCACTGCCTCTTAACTTAAATAACATTAAATAAATTGCATTAAAATTTTTGATCACAAATTGCTCTTGTCCGGTGCATATATAAACCCGTTGATATTGTTTTATTTGCTTTGCGATTACGTATAGTTAACATATTTATTTAAGCAAATTGTACACATTTATTTTTTTATTATTATTGCACATATCTATTTATTTATAAAATGATTAATATAGTTTGATTTGATCTGATTTGATTTTGAATTATATATATACATATTTCGTTAATATACAATGGAATTAATTGAAAAAAAAAACAAAAGAAAAACATTTTTTTTTAATATATATCCAAATTAAATTTAAGGTATATTAACAGAAAAAAAAAGAAACCCAAAATTAAGAGAAAGAATAAAGTAAGGGGTTACAAAATTTTTTTTTTTGTTGTGTTAATATAAACTTTTAGGTTCTTCGCCAGTTGACGTCAACAGCAGAGAGACCAGAGAGAAAAAAAAAAAAGAAAAAAAGGTAAAATTATAGAAAAAGCAATTTGGGTGTGCAGAAATACAAATATTTGTTTTTTTGTTAATGTATTAAATTTTAACTAGTAGAGTTGTTTATTATTAAATAAAAAAATGAATTAGATGAAAATTTA